TGGGAATCTTTAAGGGCAAATGCCAAGACATTTCAAGTACTGCCAAGTGAGCTCTGAAGTGGACACAGGGAAGCTGCTTCCGAGCATGGCAGCTTTGCTACCTCCCGGCTACCAGGGCACTGAGGGCATGGTGAATGGAAGAACACACAAAATCACCTTACCTATGGGCCAAATGTTGCTAATGAGAAATAAGTTCCTCATGTCTGGCACTTTGCAGCTGGATTTTGCTCTCAGCTGTGCTGTGGCGTGAGCACAGAGGAGATTGGTGGGCAGGGCTGGTGGCATGCAGGGCATGTGTTCTGCTACCAGTTGGACACAGAAGAGCCTGCAGCCAGACAGCAGTGAGGTAGGGTTGAGGCTGTTGAACTTGATTATCTTTTCATCTTGAGGGTTTTCTAGGTCCGTGTACAAAGGACCTTTTATTTAGTTCACAGTGTCTGAGGTGGATGGGCTTTTAGGGTTATCTTGTAATACATCCCTCTTTTGGGGATGGAGAAACTGAGGTCCAGATAGATAATTTAACAAAAATAACTCACAGCCTCCTTCCTTTGAGACTATCCCCATTGAATGGATGGGGAATGCAATTTGCTCCAAACCAGCTGGTAAGTTGGGGCAGACCTGGAACTCAACCATCAAGATGTAAAAGTTGATTCTCACCTGGTTTCCAGGATCAGTGCCTTTTGAGATTAATGTGAACATACCTGCACACCTGCTATGGGCTGGGCACTGCTTTGGGCACTGGGGATGTGGTGGGAAGTGTGATAGAAACATCCTTGTTCTCACAATTTCTCTAGAAATTACAGGATGATTCAGTTCCTGGGTGCCAAGACTTAGCATTGTTTATGAAGATAATCCCCAAGGCACCCTCTGTGGATGAGTGCACAGTGATTCCCTTGAGACCTAAAACTTACAGAGACCCTAAACAGCACAAATGTGAGAGGCAGTTTCCCCAAAGGGGATTGAGACAGGCAATGAGAAAGGGAATACCACATATAGAGACCATGTTTGGAAACTAGGAAGCAATTCTTCTCACATTACTGTGTGCGGAGAGTTAATGTCCTTCTCTGTTTTCCCCTTTTTCTCGTCAGAAGTGCTGTCCTCATCAAGAGAGTATCTCCCTCCTCATCAAGGCAGGAGAGGGGTATTCAGAAAGGTATTTAACCTTACAGTGCAGAGAAACAAATGCTATCTACTTAGTAGTATAATTAGGGCAGCAGAAAACACATCTCAGATGTGTCTGAGCATTTTATTGCTGCAGATATTGTCTTTCAAAACATCTTAAAATTAAGCCATGAAGCAGCATCCCTGATCCCCCAAATACCATTGGGATGAGTTTCCCCGGAAAGGTAAGGGGAATTGCTACAGCTGGATCACACAGACTTTATTCATTAAGCCATAATAAGAATTTTACCATTTTCCATAAAGGTGCTATTTCAGATTCCACCAACAAACGAGCCAAGGTTCCAACAGGTGTGAAATTCCTCATCAGCATATTCATGAGGAAGCAGAATCACCTCAAATATTTAGGATAAAGCTCCTTAATAACAGCACGAAAACCAAGCAGGTGTTAAATTACTCCAGAAGGTGTGCTATCATCTGGGCCCAATGCTCTGAATGATTGTGACATCCCTGCCACAGAGAACTGGGTGACCTGATCCTGCTCAATCCAGCGGGGCAGGCTCTGGGGCTAAGGTGATTGAGAACCACAGAGCAGTGGGCAGGAAGGACTGCTTCTCAAGGAACCAAAGCTGATGATCATGGCCCTGGGCTCCCTGCCTGCATCATCTGGTTATAGGAAGAGCGAAAGACAATGAACTTCTGCAAAGGTCAAGTGTGGTTTGTATCAGACATCTGTCGATTTCAGTATGGTATCCACATCCTCTTCTCCTAGTTAAAAGTATTATTTTTGTCCTTTGGGAAATTACCTCCGTTCCACTGTATTAAGTCTCACTGGGACTGTCAATCAAAGCACCCTGCCACCCTCACTCCCTGTGACCAAAGCTAGCCCAATTGGTTTTTCTCTTGAGACTTTGACTCTCTAGTGGAGTGAGGCAAGAATGGATGGAGTGGTTAGGCTTGAAAGCTGCCAATTATCTCTGTCTGCCTGGGTCTTTGGAGTGGCCACCATTTCTGTCTCCTTTGTGCCTGTCTGTCTGGATGGCCCTTTGATTTGGTGAGCTCCTTCTGTTATATTTCACTTTTGCTTAGGTTAACCAGGGTTGAATTCTGTTGCTTACAACTGAAGAACCTTGACTGACATAAAAATAACAACTGCAACAACCACAGATACAGATGTTCCTTATTAAGCACTAAGAGCTTTACAGATGTTACCCCATTTAATGCTCACTATGACACTCTAAAGTAGATATTATTATCCTTATCTTATACCAGGGTATATACAGAGTCATAAGCAGCCCAGGTCAAATGACTCTTCAAAGCCCTGTTTGTGATGCCAGTGAAACCCTCTGTGTGAGGTCTCTACCTTGCCCTCCATAGTCTTGTCTGGAGGAATTCCTGCATGGCCAAGTACCACACTTGGGGTAAAACCAACTTGAAAATCATCTCCACTAATGGCAAGAGATGGGCCTAGAAAATTGGGAAAGAGACCTACCTCCATGATTCCAAACCCCCTTTGAAAGGAGTATTTGTCTTCCTTCTGAAATCAGTGGTTCATTTGAATCAAGAAATCTCCAATGGGGAGAAATGACTTCTCAATAGAATGTCTGGAGAACAGGCTTCAGAGGGCCAAAGGCCTGCCACTGGAGAATGAGCAGGAACAGTGCCCAGGATGGGATGAAACACAGAGGTGGGGTACCTCTGAACTGAAGAACCATCTGTGAAATAGGTCTATCCTGTGATGGAGCTGTGGTCCTGCAGAATGTCTTTTGGGGCTTCTTCACTTGTGGATGAACACACTCAGTTATCCAAGGCCAAGTTCAGAGTTACAAACTCAAATTTTGACAGAAGCCAAGTGCGTGTGGTAGTATACAGAGTGAAATAGGTCAAATGTAACACAGGAGGGACCATGAGGTCCATGCCACAGTGGAGAGTGATTGTTCCTCTTGTGGGATGCCCTGAACCCACTGCTAGAATTTCAAGACCTCGGACAGTTGGGGATAGAACTTATTTGGAGGCAAGGCACCCTTCTAGTAAACTGAGGAGGGAACATTTTACTCACCAGATTTTCTTAGAAATATTTGGGAGGATGCCTTGATACATGCTTGTTAGGGGGAGAACTGTCCCCTCTTTCTCCTACCTTCTAACTAATTGCATTTGTAGCCCAGTTACAAATTGGCATTTCATTTAAAAGTCTGGGTCTCCACTTATCTAAAATTTTGGCATTATGTTAGCTCTGATTAGCTAACAGTTGGATGAGAGCCAGGCCCCATGAGGCTGGGACACTGGTAGTTACTGGGCCCTGGGAGGGAGGGTGAGAATACAAACACATCAATGACTTCACTGCTTTGTTTTGGACCTGCCTATCACAAAGCATATTCTTGGCTTGAGACGCCCTATCAGGGGCAGTGATCAGTTAAAGGACACCACCAGCAATTCTAGCTCCTCACGTGAGACTGGGGGTGCTCTCTGTCATGGGGCAAGACACATTTCTCTCCTGCAAACAAAAGCCTGCCAGATGATCTTGTTTGTTACCTCAGAGCTGGCCTGTACCCCCAAAGACGACACTCACTTTGTTAACTCCAGAGGCATCAGTGGTGTGTCATCATCCACTCCCAAAAGATCCAAATAGTCCCAATTATTCTGGGCAGACTATATTAAGTAAGAGGTTCTGATCTAATAGTCTATGAAAATTGCTTTAGGAGTCATTTCATTTGAATAACATTCACATTCAAATTCTTGACTATTTGAAGAAGCAATTGTTATTAGGCACAGACTGGGCTCTCCTTACCCTCCCTGCCACTGACACTTTCTTCCACTTAAACCACAGGGCTGGTGATCTAAGGCTGAGGGTAGTAGATGGGATTTTCCTGGTGACAGCACACTGAGTAGTCAGTGTGTTCCTTCTCCTACCTAACTGCTCAGTTAAGGGAGGCAACCACCACGCTTCCAGAGCCTTTCCTGAAACTTCCACCAAGTTGCTAAGACTCCAGTGGAGAACAGCAAAGGGAAGGAGCATCTTTTTTTTCCTGCTCCCCAACTTAGGTGTGTGTAGGAGTGGGGAAGGTGTTACTACCATGCTTCCCAAAGTCAGACAGGCATCATTCAGGACTAAAAGAGGCCAGGGCAGGCAGAGGTAAGTCGGGGAGTACACACTTTGTTTAAAAGAGACAGCAAGTACTAAAGAACCCAATGTCAAATCCTCTGCGTTTTTTCAAGAAAACTGATACGTTGATTTTTCTGTGGAATCTCTAAGTTTAAAAAATGTTGGTAAAATTGTTACCCAGCTCAGGTTTGGCTGTTAGCCACTCAAAGCCAAAAACTGAGAGGCAAGCATCAGTAAACAGGAAAGATGGTTTAATCAGGAAAGGTGGCAATCTGGAGAGAAGGCGGATTCATGTCCCAAGACCAACTGAGATTCTACTCAGCCATGATAGTTTTTAAAGGTAAAAAGAGGGGAAGGGACTCCAGCACCCCGGGGGAAAGCGGGCTATTTGCACAAAGCGCCCCTGCCTCACCCTCCACAGTGCGGACACACACACCCGGCTGCGAGGGGGAAGCCCGGGGAGGAAAACCCTGCATTCCACGCGGCTCACCCCCGGAGAGCGGACGTGGAGAGGCTGGGGCCCCCGCCCCGGGAGGCGAGGGGGCCGCACCGCAGCCCCGGCCTCCGCGCAGAGGAGCGAGAGGTTCGCACGAAGGAAGGAATCCCCGAGATTCGCCCACGGGGTCCTCCCCAAGCCGGACTCCCCACCCCCGCCAAGACCCTCGAAGAAACGGGAACAATGAGAAGCCGCCTCCCCCGCCATCCCCGCCCCGAGAGCGGACGGGCGTGACGGCGCCATCTCCCCTCACACCCCCCCGAACACCCCCCCCCCCCCCGGCCCCGGGGCGGCCGTCAGCCTCCCGCAACCACGCCGAGCTAACTCGCGGCCGAGCCCGCCGCTTCCGCGCCCCTCGCCACCCCGCCCGCCCCGCTCACCGGCTCCTGCCCCAGTCCCCGGCTCCGCTAGCCGCAGCCAGAGCGAGACTCAGGTACAAGTCGCCTCCGCTGCCGGCGCCGCCGCACAATATGGCGAGCCTCGGCTTCCGCAATGAAGCTCGGGAAATACAACAGGGGCTGCTCAATATTCATGAGAGACCGAGGGGAAGCCGACTCGGCCGGCGCAGCGGAGAGGGCGGGAAGGAGCGAGGGGGCGAGGGGGCGGAGGCGCGGGACTGGGACTCGCACTGCGCCGGGAGGCCCGTGGCGCGAGGGGAGGGGGTTACCGCCGCGTGCTGCCAGGAGGGCCCGAGCCACCGCCCCGCCCAGGGCCGCCCGGCCCCGCCCCCCGGCGCCCTCCGCGGAGCGACGGAGCCGCCGGCCAATGCCCGGATGACGACTCCGCCACTTCGTTCTCGGCATTCTCTCTCCTTGAGGTCCGCCGACCGTACATGCGACCCCTATTAAGCCTCCCTGGCCGGCTGCTGGGGATCGGGTTCGGACTCCTGCTCTCCCCTGTGACTCCCTAAAACGCAACCAGTTAGTCTACCAAAGAGTATATAAAATGTGTATAAATTAAGCTACAAACTGAAGTAACAAAGTGAAAGAATTCCCTGAACTCAAGATATACTATTGGTGAGATGATCTGTTCTCTGGAAAAGGTAACCAACGCTACCAGATAGTTAATGTGAAGGCACTTGTGGCACAAAGGAATGGACTGCACTGGGAATTGGGCGAACTGGGTTTATAGCTTCCAATGTGTCTCTATGTGACTTAACTAAATTATATAATTGCTTTGGACTTTACTTTCCTCATTTGCAAAATGAGAGGATTGTGTTGAATGATTCTTAGATCCTTTCCAGCTTTTGAATTCTGTTAAACTCTCTACAAGCAATGCCAAATAAATGGTATGAATTTACATAAGATTTTGGAAAAGCAAAGGAACCGTTCCAGCTGGTGTGTTCAGGGGAGATTTCCTGAGGAGCTCGGAGTCGAGTAGGACTGTGAGTGTTAGCTTTGGATAGGTAGAAAGAAAGAACACAGGCATTAAAATATTAAACACAACACACTGTGTGCCCTACCTAACAATCCATTAAGGTAAACAAGAGCAAAGACAGTGACTTCAAAACTGTCACTAACTATCTAAAGCTTTAATAAGAAATGACAATTCTCAGGTTCTACCAGCCCTTCAAGGTTAAGGTCTTTTTCCAATGTGGAAAAAAAAAATCAAAATAATTAGGAATGCTTCTGCTTCTACAAGGTCCACTTTCTAGAGACAGGGCAGTTGCAGAAGCATCTCCCTTCTTTGTTCACAACTGCACATGTCGTTCAATTAATGCTACTCATAATTCAGAACGTTTTGCTCTAGTGAAAATGCTTATGAAAATAATGTGTGGTTAGTTTAAGAAATTCAATTGATGTTGAGGAAAGTGATCATTTGTAAAAAGCACAGGAACTTTATGGATAAAAGTTAAATACGGTACTTTAAAAAAATTCACAGGACAATTGATGGAAAACTTATGGGATATCTGGATTAAATGTGATTAAAGCTAGACCTCAGGCTAGCATCCTTAATATGAAAGACACTACTGACAAATTAATGGAACTCATATTATCTATTTTATCTCTTACTCAGAAACTTGGACTGAGAGTATTATGGGCCTTCCCTGACTACCTTAATCAGGAAAGGCTGTGTTATGGTATAGTAACAAATCTCCATGCCTTAACACAACAGAAGTTTATTGCTTGCTCATGCTTCATGTGAATCAGACTCATTCTATTTCAGTCACTCCAGGACTGACAGAGGGCTCCAGATTGACAGAGGGCTCACCATCTTGTAGCTGTATCACCCAGAACACAGCAACTGAGTCTCTGTGGCAGAGGAAGAAAGTGAGTAAAGAATCCCTATGAACTTTTTACAGCCTTAGCTTGGGAAGGAAACAGATCGCTGATCACATGTCATTGGCCAAAACTAGTTACATAGCCTCCTGCATCTGCAAGGGGACTGAGTCCTTGAGCTGAGGCTGAACCGAGTTCAGAAGAAGTGGTGATATTGGTGGCCAATACTGACGTCAATCACCCTGACCCCACCAGTCAGCTTCTAGATATTATGAAAAAACTCTAAGAAGTTTTATTTCATAACACTAGCTCTCTTGAGTGGCTTCAAGAAAGGTATGCTTTCAAAACATAAACTCTCTGTACTTGTTAAGAGTTGATTATCATATAAATAGAATGGTCTTTCCATTTTTCTTCCCCTTTGTTTTAATTGTGTATTAAATCAATGTCAAGTCCATAGTCAGCCTGTCAATAGTGATTTGACATATCCAGCCTATATTCTTTATGCTAATTTTTCAACCTGACATGAGGGATACCACCCTGAAAAACATTTTCTACTAACACCCTGCTCCTTTGTTAAATGTACTAATTGGAAGTGATAACTATATTTTAAGCAGGAAGACATTAAATTAATACTATATAATACTAGATGAACTCTAGTTAGAAAGTTTATTTTCCCTCAAAACTTCAGAATTAGTACCCTGTTAATCACATGGTGAATTGGGTAGACATCTCTGATCACAAAAATCATCTCTTTACTGGCTTTCTGCTATGGTAATGCTACAAAATTAGATTAGTTCAGCTCAGTCGACTTTTATTGAGCATCTACTATGTGCTAACACTTTGCCGAGTGCTTGGAATAAAGATATTAATGTAACTAGGACACAAGTTCCTTGAGAGCAGAAGTCTTGTTCACCAGCGTATACCTAGCACAATGCTTGGCATGTAATAGATGCTCCTTAAATAGGTGTTAAGAGAATGAAAGACTGGGAATCTTTGATCTCAGTGTGTATATGAAATAGAATAGTTCATGTGAGCTTGGTTTGCCTCACTTCACCACTTAAAAGCAGACATTCCTATCAAGATTGCATTTAGTCCCCAGAGGCTTTCACTGTTTAGGCAGTGTGTCTCAAATGGAAATTCACGCCTGCCTATTCTATATCCACTCCATGGATTTCTTTTCAGCTGTGCTCCAAATATCTAATTGTTATCTGCTTATCTGAGATGAAAATTGCAGGCCACCAATAGTTTGTTAATAACAAGCTATGTATATATCACAGTTTACAGAACACTTTTATATCCATTATTTCACTGACTCTTCAGAACAGTTCTCCAAGGTATTATTCCTCGTTCACAGAGGAGGGAAATGTGATTTCTGTGGTTAACTAACTCTCCCAAACATTGAGTTCATAAGTGGCAGAGCTGAGGCTCAAAGCTAGGTAATCTGACTCCAAGTCCAGGATACATTCCATTATGCCACACGTGCCTTCCCACTCTGTGCTGCATACACAGCTCCAGCATTTTTCTTCTTTCTAATGGGTAAGCAGTCTGAGGCAAACATCTCCAGAGCTTCCTCTCAACACTAGTATTTATTCCAGTCCTCAATGTGGTCTACTTTCAAGAAGCTAGAGATAACGCTAGATATAATAGTATATGAATCTGATCTGTTGACAAAAAAATCAGGTTTTGTTTTTGTTTTCTTAGAAAAGTTACTTTAAGAAAACAAAACAAAATTAAAACTAAAAGGTAGGTTAAAAGACTGGAATATCTTGGGATTTAATCACTATATATATGTATATATAAATATATATATATAAACTGTCAAAATATATCTTCTACCAGAATCTTTATTTGCCATCTTTTAGATGTGTTGTGCTTTCTTTGAAAGGGTCAAATTAAGTAGCAACATTGTAGAAAGGCCTAAAGAGACCTATAATTCAAGGTGGCTTCAGGAAGCAGGCAACTCAAGATTTACTACCTCTTCAGCTGCAAAAATATAGCTCTAGCCACAAGCTGTAGTGAAGTTTTTTTTATTTGTATTTCAACATAGTGCATTTCTTTTTGCGACACTTCCCTTTTGGTGTTTTAGTTCATTGTTCCTTTTTATATTCCTAAGACAACCAAAATAATTGGTGCTACTCTTAACTGTTCACCTTAAACAGATTAAATGAGATGGGCTGATAGAGCTTTTGGGGAGAACTAAACAACATTGCTATTTCCCTTCTATGGAGACTTGGAATGGTATTTTATATGTCCCAAATGTGGCCACATTCTGCCTAACATCTGTTAGTGCCTTTTAGTAAAATAATGAACTAGCATGTGTTTGAAAAAAGTCAAAAGAATAAAAGTTTTCATTCTGATGCAGCACAAATAGCCAACTGTTTCTTTGTAGTTAATAATGGAGGATATTATTGTGATATCCAACTTGATATATAAAATAAAGTATGATTTAATAATTTAAAAAAAAAAGAGGGGAAGAATCTCAGTGAATCATCAAGGCAGAAGGGCGTCAACTGTGTGGTGATTCCATCTGCCTCATTCTCCATTGCATGCAGGCTGGCTGACTCTCTCTTCAGATTATTTTGCCCGTGTGATCAGCCTGAAGGATTGCTAAGGGGACTGTTGGGGGTAGAGAGCTAGTCATTCTTTAACTACTTAATTCTTCATGTTTACTTCTTTTAATCTAGGAAAAGAATCAATAGGTTAGGCAAGGCATGGTGTGCATTCAGGAGAGCATAAGTCAAGAGTTAGTTTAAATTGCCTAGTGATCTCATTCCTATAATTAGGTTCTTTCAAGGTTAGAGGGGAACAGAATCGGGCAAACAGGAAAGGGGCAAAAGAGCTGCTTTCAAAAACTCAAGGTTAAAAAACTATTTTTTTATTATATAAGTTTCAGGTATACAGCATTATAATTATAATCTGTATACATTACAATGTGATCACCACCACAAGTCTAGTTACCATGCCTCACCAAACAGGTGACCCCCTTCATCCATTTCGTCCACCTTCCAACCCCGTCCCCTCTTGGTAACCACTAATCTGTTCTTATATCTATGAGTTTGTTTCTATTTTGTTTGTTCATTTGGTTTCTTTTTAGATTTCACCTATGAGTGAGATAATATGGTATTTGTCTTTGATTTATTTCACTTAGCATAATGCCTTCACGATCCATCTGTGTTATTGCAAATGGCAGGATTTCATACTTTTTTATGGCTGGGTAGTATTCTATTGTAAATATATACCACATCTTCTTTATCCATTCATCCATCAATGGACATTTAGCTTATTTCCATATCTTGGCTATTGTAAATAGTGCTGAATGTACATAGGGGTATATATATCTTGTTGAATTAGTGTTTTTGTTTTCAGAAATGGACTAGCTGGGCCACATGGTAGTTCTTAATTTCTTGAAGAACCTCCATACAGTTTTTCCACAGTGGCTGCACCAATTTACAGTCCCACCAACAGCATAGGAGGGTTTGCTTTTCTCTATATCCTCTCCAACATCTGCTATTTTTGTCTTTTTGATAATAGCCAGTAGGTGTGAGGTGAAAATTTCAACTTTTAAACACACTCTTGTGCCACTGCAAGCTGGATTTGAACCATGAGCCGTGCATTTGTATGATCCTGGCTAGCGCATCAGGCTCAGTGGCTGTTCTTTATATTACCTTCATTGTCAGCAGAACTGGATCTGTGGTGTGAGTTCAAGATGTATGAGCTTTGATAAGATGCTTTGAAGACAAAAAAGAATTTCATTGTGTTTATGCTAAACATTATCCATTCCAATGTCAGAGACATTTTACCAGTGGTGATGATGGCAAGTGGCAATGGGTAAGGTAATTGAGCCATAGGGTCTTTGGCCTGGAAGTTTAGAAACCTTCAGTCTAGATACTGGGACCATTAGCCATAGAATACTTTGAGCAATTTCTGAGTTATAATTCGCTACTCTTGGAGTTCAGAAAAGGCCCTGGTTTTTCCTCACAAGAACACCAGGCTGAATGCCTGTGCTGGCCTGAGTATTGTGCTAACGTGGCATTGCTCCCTGAAGCTCTCGACCCTTGGGAGGGAGGGCTGCCCATTGGTTAACATGTCCCTTAGGAAGAGTTTGTCACACTCTTAGGCACATTTCACAGCTCTCCAAATGGTAAGACTTTCTTGAACTTTTATGTGGGCTATGAACAGACAAGAATTTTGAGGTCTTAAAGCAGAGTTACAAATGATAAGGGCTGTAAACTGAGAGAAGCCAGCACATATTTGCCCTGATAATGGCTGTGAACCTAGTGCTGTGGAACTGTGGTTATATAGAGTGTGGAGGGCAAAATTGGCAATGTAATGTAAGGGCAGGGAGCCTCTCTGTGGAATTGTTGTGGAGACCCACTTACCCCCAAGGTAAAGACAGGGAGGGAGATATTAAAAGAATCATTCCCAAGCTCTGATCTTGTGAAGTCTCCAGTGAACCAAAAGGGATGCTTTAAATAGAACACTTTTTTCCCAGTTGCAAAAGCAGCTCAGAGTCAATGTAGAGAAAATTATGGGGAGGAAAAAAATGGGAAAAAACCCAAATCATCTTTAAATTCATCACCATTCACTGTCAAAGACAGACAAAGCTGGACACCAGGTAAAGTGATTAGGATAGGTTTTAAGCAGTAATATACTATTGCAATAGGGGAGAAGTCCAACATTAATTGAACTCAAGTTTAATTTGCACAGATGTAACTAGATATTTTAAAGGGAGAATGAGGGACTAAGGAGGGATGTGAGCAAGGCTCAGTACAGCCAGGGAAATGAAAAATTACAAAAAGCAGAAAATGGGGGTCGGTCAATGTGATTAGATCCTCTGGGTTTGCTAACTGGCACTTACGGAAGTTAGGTTCCTACCCTCCCACAGAGGTTGGGAAAGAGGGGCCCTATCTTCAGGTGTTGGCTGTAACAGTGTATACTTTTGGGAGCCTTGAGTTTTCTCAGGCAGGATCTTTTTTTTTTTAATGTACATGTGGGTTTTGGGGGGGTTTTTTTTGGTTAGTCTCTGCTTTATAACAAAACTGTAATGAGGTATCACCTCACACCAGTCAGGCAGGCTTTTTAAAGGGGACTAGGATCATCCTAGGGATGAGGCCTTAAGCTGTTAGAAACTATGTTATTGTTCATTCAAGTCCTTATAGGCCAAGGTTAAGGCTAGTGAATAAGAGGGTCCAGAGGAGCCTGGCAAGAATTTGGTCAAAGAGAGAGTCCTTATCATAACGTTTCAGAGTGGGACCTTTCAGTATGTTTTCTGTGTGAGTGTGTGTGCGTGCATCCACAAAAATTGTATTCTCCTATATATTTCTGCAGCTGGCTTACTCCACTCAGCAATTTAGCATTGATATATGTCTATAGCAAACATTCCACCCCATTACTGTATTTATGGAATTATGACTATAGAGAATTTCATGCTTTGGAACAAAATTGAACTTCACCCTTCTTGTTGGACATTTCAGTTCCTTTTCACAAGCATAAATGACTCTTCCATGATTATCCTTAAGCTTCCCTCTTTGTATATTTCTGATGATTTCCTTGGGATAAATTTCTAGGAGTGGAATTGCTGGGGCAAAAGGCATGCAGTTCCATTTACATTGGTCACTGCTCTGTCCACTTTCTCCAGACTGTCTCCTCTATTGCCATTGCTTCAAATGTCCTTTCTATGCCAAATGACCTGTAGCTTCAGGGCACTCTAGGGGGCCAATAATCTCCATCAGACATCATGTCGCAGCCACTTTAGTGTGGACATGCTGAAAATGGAACTCAAAACCCTTCCAACCCTCGTCCTGGATAACTCCTCTTTCCAGAGTGTGGAATCACTGTTTGCCAGGTGGTCAAGACAGAAATCTTAGAGTCACTTTAGTGTCTCCCCCTCCCTTGCTCTCACATCCCATAAATCACCAAGTTCTGGGAATTCTTTCCCATAAGGGTCTTGAATCTGTCCACATGCTTTCATTTCGTCTGATACCACCCAAGCTCAATCCACTGGCTTGTGTCAATGGGTTTCTTTAAGAGATTCCTAAACCGTAAGCCGTCTTGTCAGAGATAAATCAGCCTGATAAAAACTTTCAAACCAATGTGATGAGGACATAGAGGATTTGCTCTCCTAGGGATTTACAACTTAAAAGAGGACTCAAACCATGCTTAACCTGAAGAATGATGAGCTATTGGGCTAATCTTGGCATTTGGTGTGTAAAGATTTTTGAGATAAGGATCCTCCTGGTTTCCTCAGACTGAATCACTTGCTTCATTTACAGTCCAGGCTGCCTCTGTTCCCTCATTTGCTTTCTTTGAGACAGCATCCAGCTCTGAGTCACCTAGGTAGGGTCTTTGGCAGCAGCAAGGCCACACCATGGCTCTGTGCCTGATTCCCCCCACCCATGAGCTTCTCCTCTGCCAGCTGAGAGACCCACACACAGGCTAGATTCCACTCCCTCCATGTCCCCAGGCCTGACTCAAGTCCTGAACAAACTAAGTGCTTACGAGCTATGCGAAGGAATTTATAATATACTCGGGCCCACTCCGTGCTGGGGACCTGGCCAAGGTGAGAAGTGGGGCCAGAATCCCTGACCTCCCTCCAGACTTGAGAGATCAGACAACTGTTCATGTAAGGAAGTGCCAGCCACTGGCAGGAAGACAGCTGTGGCTTTAGGCATATGGGGTGAGCACAGCCACTTGCCATTTCTCCTGTCTCTATTACCTTCTCAGCACCATTCAGCCAATAGTCAGGGACTCAACAACACATGTATTCAGGCCATATGCTACTTGGTGAATGTGCTTATATATGACTAGCTATCCCCAAACCAGGGGACATAAATGCAGATGTGTATTAGTTTTCTAGTACTACATAACAAATTGCCACAAACTTGGAAGCTGAAAACACCACACATTTTTTATCTCCCAGATTCTGTGGGTCATGAGACAAGCAAACCTTATGTGAATCCTCAGCGGCAAGGTCTCTAACAAAGCTGCAATCAAGGTGTCAGCTGGAGTCTCATTTGAAGGCTTGACTGGGGAATGTTGTCAGCAGAATTTAGTTTCTCAAGGGCTGTTGGACTAAAATCCTCAGTACTAGCTGACTGTTGGTCAGGGGCCATCCTCATTTCCTTGTGGCATGGACCTCTCCAACATGGCAGCTCATTTCATCAAAGCATGCAAGCCAAGAAGGAAATAGAGTCTACCAGCAAGATAGAAATCAGTCTTTGTAACCTAATTTCAAAAGTGACATCCCACCATCTTTACCTCTGCTGTATTCTTTGCATTAGAAGCAAGTCACAGGTCTCACCTAGCCCAAGGAGAGGGGATGACACAAAGGTCTGAACACCAGGAGGTGGGTATCACTGTTGGTCATCTTAGAGCCTGTCTGTCACAAAGCAGGTGGCTGGTAATGCTCTCATGGATTCAGCTGAACAATTCTGCCCCCTGGAGTCTGATGCTTCATCATGTGCTCTCCTAGCCCCCAGAAATTTAACTTGCCTGCTCCCCCTGCTAGTTCAGGAGCTCTTTAAGGGAAAGGCCTTTGTATCTCTCATCCTATGTGAGTGTCCCTAGGGTAGGGCCTACTGACTCTCAGGTACTAAATACACACTTGGTGGATGACTGTGTGGGGAGCTGAGATCAGAGCAGAGCCATGGCCCCTGCCTGCATGCCCAGCTCAGCCAGAGCAGGAGTTGATGGTACTGAGGACAGACCATGCAGGGCTGTACTCTGGGGTGTGCTGTTTCTTTAGATGCTTCTGCAAAGCCCATCTCTCCAGGAAACCTGGTTCTATTAGCCTAACTAACTCCAGCCTCTAATCTTTTCTAAACCACTTACTCAGGTTTCCCTGCCCTGATACTGACAGTGTTTTCAGGCTTTGCTTTCCAGCTTAGAATCAGAATCAAGGAGGTTCCCTCTTCTTAAATGCCTACCACTCCCCCCTCCCCTGCTCCCCACAAAAATGTGAATACCCACAGCATGATGTCCCAGCCCCTCAGCCCCAGACAATGTATGTTTTCATACTGTTGCTACAGTGGTACTTCCCAGTGTTCTGAATTTTCAAGGAAACTTGGAAATCTGTACTTTTATGTACACTTTTCCCATTTTTAAAATGTGTGCAAGTAAAACAAACACATCTGCTGGCTGTATTTGGCTTTGGTTATATTGTGTGTTTACACAATGACTGCACTTTACTGTTGGATCTTTGCAACTGGACCACAGTGGCTGCCACAGCGAGTGTTCCTGAACTGCTCAGCAAATGGTCCTCCACAAATGGCCACTGGGCTCACATGCTCTTTGGGTGGGGATGGGGGGTACCCACTCTGAAACTCTGCCAGAAAAGCAGCCACTGCTTTTGTTGCTGTCCTTTGGAGTGCCCCTGTGAGAGCGCCCCTTTGGGAGTGGTTGTGGTTTGCTGGTCCTCAGCACCATCTTGGTAAATTGTAGAACTGCTCAGCTTTCAGCAAAGTGAATGAAGGATTAGGAAGTCAGTTTCTGAATCTCTGAGAAGCTGCACCGAAACAGCACTAACAGGTTTATTTAGGTCCACACTCACAAACAAATCAAAATGTGTTTGAATAATTCAAAGTCCAAAATGAGTTAAAAATAGTGCTGGGGACAAAACAGCCAGCACAGCAAGTCCATTAGCGGCTGATCCACATTAATGACCTCTAATGAGCTTGGCTGCCAACAGCAGGCGTTGGAAGTTGGGAGCTGCCAGATGCCATCACTGCACAGTCCCTCTGTACTGGCTTGGCCTCAGGACCATGTACAACCATCCATGTCACTGTCATTTCAAAGAGTAAGCAGCACTGACTTTCAGCCAGGCTAGGGAGACCTCTCTCAGAATATTTGAGCTAATGCGGGCAAGAGAAATTCTGGGGATCAGAGTGGTGGGGCCATTCTGCTTTGCTTGCTGACCTCAGGTGGGGTGATGGACTTTTCTGGCATAAAAAGAAAAAAACGAATGGAAACCAAACTCTGGGACAAAGAAGAGTTTGGTTTTGGCAATAGAAGCTGATGGAGAGACCCCATGACCATGCTTCCCAAGTCAGTGGCAATGAAAGATCAGGTTTTTATTTCACATCAGTTGCAGACAAATACTTTTGCAAAATAAAATAAAAATTGAGTTATGAGAAAAATGAGATTTTTTTAAAAGCCATGCAAAATACAAGCCCCCAATTTTTTATTATTAGACTGAATAGTCATACTCTTTTACTCTGTCAAGTTGATATTGAGGTTTCTAAACTCTCCAACTTCAGTATTTCATCACAGTCACACTCGGGCAGGAGCAAACCACAAGGCTTACCCACCTCCGGGCTGTCCCACTTTGTGTTCTTGCTGGGCTGTTCCCCCTGCTGGGAATTATCCTTCCTCATTCTGTCCTTCCCCACACCAAATGAGTGCCCATGAATGTCCTCTCAGCCCAGAACTGTGCCCCTGAGTGTCCACATCTGCCTCCTCCACTCACCCCCAAGGCTGCTGCTACAGCTGGGATCCACTCCTCACCTGGGCACACCTAGCTCCTCCTGGCTGGGGCCATGCCCTCCTCCTCTCCCTCCACAAGGAGGCTAAAGAGATTAACTTCTTAAAACATGTGTCTGATTATGTCACCTGCTGGCTAAAGTCCTTCAGCAGCTTGCAGGCAACTACAGTGTCGGTCCCAAGTACCCAGTTGTGGGCTGAGGCTTCCACAGACCTGGCTGCCTCCCTCCTGGCCCTATCCCCAGCATGCCTGGACAACACCAGGCCTCTTGCTGCACCTAAGTGGGCTCTGTCCTCCTGCCTTGAGCCCTCACTGTGCTGCTCCTCTGGCCTGGTCTCCCTTCCCCTCCCTCTTCTTCTGTCTCTGTAGGATTTCAGACCCAAGGTCAGGTGCCCCCTCCTCTAAGAGGTCTTCCATGACATTGGAGGTGGAGCTGGTTAAACCTGGCTTCCTCACCCCCTGAGTGGGACAACTCCAAGACATGTTCTACCAGCCTCTTTCTGAGCAGGCGGAGCCCAGGCCCTGGGGGTAAACCTGCCTGGTGTCCCCACTCCCTCTCGGGTTTCTGGGCATTACCTTCCACACAAAAGATCTGCTCTCAGGCTTTTTGTCTCAGGTCTGTTTCTGGGGACCCATGACCAAAACTCACTGGTTGCTGCGCTCCTGTCACAGTCTAGTGCCAGAGGCAGGAAAAGTGCATCATTACAAGTGGTAACAAAGAGTCAGGAAAACACATTGGGGTAGGAAAAGAGTATTGCATTGAGCTGTGTGGGTCAGAGAAGGCCTGCGAGACTAAGTGACATTTACAAATTTGCAATGCCATGTAACAGAGTGTCAGTATCAGTAGAGGCGGTGTGGGGACTCAGAGGAGGAGGAGAGGCCAGACCTATTTGGGGTCAGGAAAAGTTTCACAGAAACAGATTGAGTTAAGTGGTGTCAAATGTTGACAGCTGAGCAAAGCAGAAATAGCCTGCAGTGGCGTGGCTGGCACAAGGGCTACCATGAAAGCCACTGTCCGTGAGGCACATCTCTGTGCCAGGCCCTGGGCTGTGTGTGTCACGTGCCTCACCTCACTAAATGCCCACAGCAACTTTCTGGACCATCCTCAGTTTACAGAAGAGGAAACCAAGGCTCTGTGCAGAGCCAGGGTGTGGAGTCAGGGGCAGAGAGACAGGATGGATCACAGCCAGCACTCTTCGTGACTCGATTTAGATTTGCTCAAGGTTCCTAGTGAGTCGACGCTGCACCAGGACCTTTGCTGGATCATTTGTACCTGGTGCTGTGTCCTAGGCTGAATCTTTCTAGATTAAGCATTAATAATATTTGTCTTATGCAAATGTGCTTGTGTTGGGTGAGATGTGAATAATTTACGTGGCTGTGAAGGTGTCACACCATAGATGTTGGGGACAGAACGCTGCTCATCTCCTTGCAGCGTCACTATGGACAAGCAGCCCCAACATGTTCCGAACTGAGAAATGGCTGCCTTGGCCTCCCTGCCACCTGCTGCCAAGGAACAAAGATGAATGGGAGGCAGGGGGACAGGCAGAGGCAGAAGGAGTGGGCCCTGGGGCTTGAGTGGCACACAGGCAGAAGCAGTACCTCCACCCCGCGGTGCACTGCTCCATCCCCACTCCCTCTCCAGGAAGGCTGGACCTCTTCTGCCCAGTCCTCCAGGAAGCTCCCGGACTCCAGCTTGCAGTGATGGCTCTCTGCCTCTCCACCTCTCTACATCTCTGTCTCTATCACTATTTGTCTCTATCTCTTTCTATCTCTGTCTCTGTCTGTTTTTCTCTATGTCTCTCTATTTCTGTTTCTGTTTTTTTCCTGCCTGTAACTGTCTCCATCTCTTTGTGCATGTCTCTGTCTGTCTGTCTCTCTGTCTGTCTGTCTCTCTGTGGCCCTTGACCATTCTGTTCACCTCACACCACTTTGGAGACTGTGGCCCTCACAGGTGGCCAGATTCATCATTATTGGCTCAGGTCTAATGGAGCCTCCTTCCACTGGATGTGTCCCCCCAAAAGTGTAGGTTTTCCTCAAAGCATAGCTGGAGACAAGGCCTTGGGAGGTGGGGCTGGGAAGTAGGAACAAGGTAGCAGGCCAGTAGGAAAGGGAAGAAATAACATTCAACCAAAAGTGAATTCTGGTGGGCAATGGGGCTCAACCTTGTAGTACAAGTGTCCCTGAGAACACATGTGCCCTGTGCCTGGGACTCACCCTCTGTGAAGGATGGGGCCTGCACATACCTGCCTCCTGGGGTTGGGAACTTTGCTGTACTCTGGGTTTCCCTGGGAGCAGCTTAGGGAGCACCACAAATTTGGGGAAAGGCTGAAGGCAAAAAAGTCCAGAAACTCAGGAGAGCTGCTCCCCAGATGCAGCTTGAAATCTGAGCTGGGCTCAAGCAGGGCCAACACCTGGTACAACTCACTGTTGCCTGCAGAACAACATCCACACCGTCAGTGTTGCATTCAAGGCCCCACAACATGGGCCAGTTGACCCCTAGTTGCTACTGCTCCCTGGTTGCAGCCAAGGTGGCCTGATCCCTTGGTCCTCATAGCTCTCGTGCTCAACCATCTCACAGCCTTGGCTTCACCATTTCCTCATGCTGGGATGACCCATCCTCCATTGCCCTCTCTCTGCATCCATCTAATGCCTGTACATCTTTTAAACCGCACCTCTACCAAGAAAGCTTTGGGAGCCTCTCTAACCCAGTGTGAACTCTTGGCTCTGCCCTCAGGGTCTAAACTGCCAATTTGTCATGTATTAAATGTATCTTCTACATTTCTTGTTCACTTGCTTTTTTTCAATTAAATTCCTTCAATATTACCTACCTTCAATTTACCAGACATGATGCCAGGGAGAGGGGCATGGAGATAGGCATCTGCCCCCCAGGAGCTGACAGTACACTGGGCATCTAAGTGCAGGTAGAGCCTGAGATCTTTATTGCAAGAATTGTCTTGTTATCCTGTGGTGTCTAGAACTCAGCACGGTGCTGGCCCACTGGATGTGCTGCTGTTTCACTCTGAGTGTGTAGCTTCTCCCTTTTCCCATTTAGTCTAAATTCCTCAAATGAAATGGCACTTTGCCAAACCTTGCCTCAGTCCTACGGTCTTAGGGATTGTTGGAGTTTCCAGGTCCTACTATGAAAATCCTCTAGCAGCCTGGGCACCTGAGTGGTTGCCATTGGCCCTCTCGTAGAGACTGCAATGGAGACGGACAGGTGACCCACCAGCAGGACAGGTGATAATTCAGCACCAGACAGCTCCATCAAACCCTCCCTGAGGGGTAACTGCATTCTCTGGGCTGTCGGCAAACCCTTCCTTCCTCTGACTGCTGAGAACCCTCCCATGCTGGCTCCTTTGGAGTCCTGGCACTGCACAGGCCCTCTGGGAGGCTGCAGGGATGCTGAGCCTCATTCCATCATCAACATCATTGTCCCCTGGTCAGATGTCCCAAGACAAGTGCTTACTTAGCAACTACAGGGAGTGTGTGCTGAATCCAGAGGAAACCTGGTAGTTTTGTCTTTCTGCCAATCCTCAGTGCAAGCTAAGATGAACTTTAAAGGAGTCTGATCAACTAAAGGCTCTGGCTAATGAGCTGGGAGAATCTGATTTTTTAAGTTTTAAATTGTGAAATACATTCTATCTTAAAGTATATACAATGTATTTAAAGTTTAAAGTCATAAAATGAGGAGCCATATACTGCCCCATCCAGTTTAAGAAATAGAACATCACCCTCTGTGTCCCTCCCCAGCTGCATTCTCTTCCCCCCTCCACGCTGAGGTAATAGTTACCCTGAAGTTTGTGTTTACTATTCCTTACTTTTCTTTATAGTTTTATCATATTACATGCATTCCTAAGTAGAATTTAGTTATGCCCATTTTTAAAATTAAAATGTTCGTACTGTATATGTGTTTTGTAACTTATTGGTTTTGTTCCATATTTTTTAAAAATTTGCCCACACTGATGAATATGGCTGTAGTTCATTTATTTCCACTGTTACATAGTATTCCACAACATACATTTAAGTATGCATTTATCCAGTTTGCTGTCAATGGAGATTTGGGTTGTTCTCACTTTTTTTGTTTTTGAAAGCCATGCTGCCAAGAACCCATTTGTACATGGCTTCTGGGGTACATATGCAAGTGCTCTTCTTAGGGCAGTGGTTCTCAACACCAGTACCCCCTTTTATGACAAATATTTTGTGATGTTCTTTTTACTATCTTGAAATGAATTTCTTAGATCCTGTACTATAGTGTACCTACCTTTGAACTTCAGGAAATCAACCTAATGCTCTAGCTGTAATATAAAAGAGAAATAAAACAAAGCAATTAATAATAAAAGATGGCTGTACCAAAATGTAAATTTAGGGGAACAATTACACCAGGAGCCAGAATAATGATGTCATATTCTTGTACCTGTATGTAGAATCACCATGATTTTTCCAGCTACAAGTGCAAACAGACAGAGGTGCTTTGAATTGGTGACCCAAATACCATGTGCAAGGTTCCCAATAGAGAGATGATTTTTCTGAACTGTTGACCAATTCTTGGCAAAGTTGCAAGCAGTAACAACATAAAACAAGCTCTTCCTTCAATTTAGAAGGTAGTTGCATTCCTAGAAAATTCAATATGTTAAAAGCCATGAAAACAACTAGTTTTATACATATATATATATGTAAAACAAAGTTAGAGTTAGATTTCAGGATCAGATAAGTACGAACAGATGCTCATCTGCATTAATTATGTGGTCACATGGGATGCAGGTTGCTTCATCTGTGTGTGGGACTATCCCAGGAATTGTACGACACCTAGCATTCCTTGCCCTACCTACTAAATGCCAGTAGAGTCCCTCACTCTTTGTGACATCCACAGGTTTCCAAAACTCTCCCTAGGGTGTGGCAATGACCCTGTTGGGAACCACTTTTCTAGGTTGTTTATTTAAGAGTGAGAGTGTAAAAGAGTGAGAGTGAGAAAGTAAATACATATTTAACTTAGGGAATCACAAATCATTTTCCAGGATGGTTAAATCAATACACTGTTCTGGTATCAGTGCGTGAGAATTTCTGTTGTTTTGTTTCCTTACCTACACTTGAAGTTGCCAGACTTCTACCGTTTTGCCTGTCTGATGGGCGCAAAATTATTTTTCATTGTAGTTCTTAGCTTCTCACGTGGTTAAGCACTGTTTATATGTTTATGGACCATTTATGTTTTTTCTTCTATGAAATTGACCTTTCATGTCATATGCCCCTGTTTTCTTATTTATTTGTAAGGGGTTTTTATTTGTATTGGATACTAATTACGTGTATGCAAATATATTCTCCCAGCTGGTGGCTTTGTGTTTTTACTTGTTTTATGGTATCTTTTGATGAGATATTTGTAATTTTAATTTCATACATAAACATATATGAAGTTATCTAGTCTTATAACGTTCTCTTGGGAAGGGATCATCCAGTGGGCTCAGAAAGATCCCTATTTGTCTGTGTTTCTCTGTCTTAGTGAAATCTATCACTCCTCTCCTCCACCTCCCCCACACATATGCACTTTGCAGTTTTTACATCTATGAGGCAGATTTCCTTGACATCCTTAAAATAGCTATTGACATGGTGGGATCCTGCTCTGTCTATTGGCCTCAGTGTTGATTTAACAGCTGGCCCTTGATGAATATGGAATAGAAGTGCTTAAAAGCAGAGCTGCTTCTGACTCCAGATGCCCTGGAAGCAGGGGTCTTTTGGGGAATTCCAGAGTTTACTGATCCCTCAGAATCATCCATCGAGTCTGACATAGGTTCTGAAGGAGGCTATTAGGCTGTAACGTCACAGTCTCCAGATATGTAACAGGGAAAGTTAATAAACTGAGAAAGACCTTTGCAACTTGGCCTCACCTTCCAGCCCCAGCCTTCCCATCTCTGCAGTGAAGTTACCCCCGAGAGAGCTGGGTAGATGGATGAGTTGGTGTAAAGCAAAAGTCTGTTGAAGTTGGTGTGAAGGCAGGTCCCACCTGTTTTTCCCTCTAAAGTTTTATCTCCTGGTGGGTAAAAATGTAAAGAAAGTTGGCCAGTTACAATGATACAGAACTACAGGGAGACAGACACTGCTTCCTGTGTAAGCAGTCAGTTTTAGTCTCTTTCAGAGGTACTGGAATACTTTACAAGGTGACTTTTCCCAACCTTGGCCACCCAAAGGCCCATCTTACCTCTGGAGTTGAGGGCTGGGGCCCACCAGAGCTGGCTGCAGTATGTGTCAGCATCAGATCTCTCTGACCCCCGACTCTAGGTGAGGGTCTGACCAAGCCTTTAGATCAGAGATAATTAGATGGGTTTGTGCTTAATGCATTTTCCAGTCAACGCAACAACTTGAGGGCTAATTTGTGGAAATTGAATATGGTGACAAAATGCTGCATTAAAACCCTGCTTATCCTTATAGATTAAAGTTAGTGTTGGGGGTGGATTTGCAGCTGGCTTGAGGAGCCCACAAGATAATAAAGTGGAAGAATTCTCTTTCCTCTTTCCTTGTGCACTGAGAATGTTCATGAAGGTAGGAGGAGGGCTGGGGAACTGAAGGCTCTTCCCAGGGAGGAGGTAATAGCATTCCCTCCTGTATATGCCAAGGCATTGCCTCTTCCTTTCTGTTCCAGTGACAGGACACAGACTCTTTGGTCTCCTAACGCCTGCCCCCTCCAATCCCACCACTCAATAATGAGATCTGAGAATATGTCTTAACGTCAGAGCTGAATTCCAGTTTCCAAGTGAGCCA